TCATCCTCCACAATCTTTCTATTTCTATTCTGAGGTCTTGGTACTTGTCAATTTTTTCCATTTCCTTTTGATCAATTCTATGGTCCATACTGAGGCACTGAGATGTCAATCACTTTCGCCTTCTTCTTGCTCTTAACTACGTCTATGATGTCGGCCCTGCCAGTACTTTGCAGCCAGATACAGTGTAAACGTTAGATTGCCTCCTCCTCCTCCTCCTCGATGACGTTTATCAACATCCATGTACTAATTCAATCTCTGTGCTGTTATGATTTTAAAAGTCCTCGAAATGTTCAATGTGTTGGAAATAACTGCATTCTGCATGCAAAACAAGACGACCAAGTCTCGAACAGTTTCTGCTGTGTCCCTAGAGCATCTGTTATGAGAGAGAAAATTAATGTTTTTACAGACTAAGCTAGACATCAGTTTTCTAATTACTATTTCTTATCGTATGAAAACAAGATAAAGAACGATCAATTAGTTATTGAAAATATCGATATAACATTTCAGTAAGGCTACCATCACGCACAAGTTTGGATGATGGTATATGCTTTGAATTTACAAGTAAACCACTTAGCTCCTCCCATTAGCATGTACACCTCTGGTTACACCCTAAACACTCTTTACCCCTTTGCTTAGTTATTTTAGCATTATTCTTTTAAATCTTTTGATATAATTATTCCTCGTAGACCTTTCTATACCTTTACCATATATTCATACATTAACTTTAGTTTAAGCTATGTTTAGTTCTAAGATTTTCACTCGTATTATTCTTTAATAAGATATCACACTTAGGAATTTACTATTTCCTTTAGCCAATCAAGACTCAGCGATAATATCACATTGATTGTAGAATGACAAATGTCATGAAGTTATTATAAATAGAGCTCATGTAATTAGTTTAAGTCAGATAGAGTATAGAAGAGCAGAGTATAGAACAGAAGAAGAGATAGTAGAATAAAGATCCAGTAGCTCGTACCGAGAGCGGTCATCCCATAACACATCCCCCTAAGACATCGATGATGATGTTGTACTGCTTGATCTTATAGTCTGGAAATTGTTTCCGCAGTTCCCAGGCAGTGCATACGCATTTCTCTTCTGTTTTTTTGCGCGCTCCATTGTCCATCCAAGGACAGCTCATGTCTATGATCATATCACCCTTCGTGCCTACTTGTCCATAATCTTTGCGTCAATAGGATTAGTACGGTGGCCCATAGGGGACAACTGCAAACAAATAAAAGCTGCTGCCAAAGAAATTATGATCGTTAAGAATAAATTAAAGTTGCTGCAAAAAAATAAAAGTTACTGCAAATTAATAGAAGTTGCCGCAAACAGAAACAAACATCACGGCAAATTAATGATTTTTATTAGAAAATAAAAGCGAAAAGTAAAAGTTGCTGCAAACAAATAAAAGTTGCTGCAAACAAAAAGTCAAAAACCTCTGCGCGCGCATTGGTCGGAAAGGACTGGCACTAGCAGAGAATATATCCAAGATGGTGTCTTATTTGGTGAAAGTGTGTATTTTGTAGATCTACCAGTCGATCTATCATCCAACATGTTTTGTAACCATTGCGGCGCAGAAGTTTTTCCAGCGCCGACAAGTTCTCCTCTTGTGGCCAAATTTGTTGTTCCAAGGTATTTCGGTTTGTGCTAATGCACTACAACAAGCGAAACGTGGGTAACACTCTCAGGGGCTTTTCGGCACATTCGACACGTCCGTTGCAGGGACCGTTCCCGTTTTACTACGTGGTAGTATAGTTTCGTCGGGAGTAATTGGTTGTAAAGCTCGTATATTCTCGCAACAGTGTGCGAAGGAGCTGTCATCCATTTGTATAGCCAAATGAAGCAGTCTACGAAATCTTCATCTGCCTATACCTTGCTTCAAAGAGCTTCCCTTGCCATCTTCGACCTCGGATCATCTCGGCCCTTTTTCTCTTGTTCGGAACTTTTCATGACTTCACCAGCTCTTTCCATACCCAGCTGGATTAGGGTATTTAAAATCAAAGTTCACGCCCACCTCCGCGGCATACTCGACAACGCCGTTTGTTAGAGAACGTCGTCCCATTTTCTCGCACTTGATTCGAATACAGCTTTACTGCGGTCTTGAATTTCGTAAGTTTGTATTCGGACTCGACTGATATCAGTCTTCTGCCCCCATATTTCCTGGAGAGGTAAAGAAGCTCGGTTGAAACTGAAGGATGGCGATCTTACGACTCTCAGTCAATTTGTTGTAGTTCAGACAGCGGCCATGTCTGTGTCCACATAGGATAAGTGAGGACCTGTTATGGATAGTGGTTAGATGCACTACTTTATGATCTGAAAAAGGCTCGACCAAATAACTGAGTCTTTGAAGACATATACCGTATACCGCCTCAACTTTCAGGTTTGCTATAACCTGAGAGTTTCCGATTACTGTGCCATTAGAGCGGTTGTCTAGTGTACCCCTTTTAACGAGGGCTGTGGAATACTTCTTCTCATTCCATTTCAGCTTTTACAATTTTTCTTTCATACAACATCAACATTCCTACCCTTTCCATAGATTTTAAAAATAAATTCACAAGATTAGAAAAGGTATCTTTTTATTTGATAAAAATATAGAAAATTTAGTGTTTTATACTTTTGTCTATTTAATGTCAGAATTTATGATTAACAGGTTTAACCTGTCAGTTTTTACAGTGTTATTCAGTGGGAATAGTATCATGGTTCTTTGCATACATTATACTATTCCTGCAGTCAGTGTCAAATATTTTTCTCTCAATATTTTTTTTAGTTTTGCCTAACTACAGTTACCCCACATTTTATAGTTATTAATGTATGTACTTATTGTTGATTTTGTTGCAGATAGTTTTGCTTTCGCTGAACGCCTTCTTTTGATATGGGAATGGACAATTAAGAACAGTAATTTCGATTACGACTTCTTTTTAAGAATAGATGATGATCATTTTCTTTGTGTGGATCGTCTTGTCAATGAGCTCCAATACCGACCTAAAGATGGACTTTACTGGGGGTTTGTACATTGTCATCCTCGAGTAGTTCGAATAGATGAAGCATGGCTTTTGTTATCCAAGGATTTAATACAAGAGATCATGGAAAAGCGGGAAAACAAATCTTTATTTTGCCATCCATATGGGGATCAAGCGGTAGCAATGTGGATAAACACAATCCACAAGAACATCACTTACTTTATGGATAACGAGCGAATCATACATAAAAGTGCAGGCCGAGATCCTAACTATTACACAATGAGTGTATGCGGTAAATATTTAAGTTTACATGGAACCTACCCTAGGGCGATGAAGCAATTATGGCTCTTGAGCCACACTATGCAAAATAAATATCACACTGATATGGTATACAAGGTACAGGAAATTGCTGAATTTTCTAAGCTTTGCAAATTTTCCCCTATTTTTGAATACAATGCATTTTTACCCGAATACCAATTTAAACCAAAGCTATGTCATCTAAAACCAAAATGGGCTATTTCTAAAACAAGGCATGGTGGACGAGAAGAAGAGGGCGAGCGCTACAGTTCATATTAAACAGGCGGCGCGCGGTTTGGAAAATAGCTAGAGGTAATATTCCTACTAGACGGTATTAAATAATGTTAATAATGCCGTTCACAATTATATTTGTATATTATGTTATTTATTATGAAGAAATAGAAAACGCGCGCGCGTGCTGTGTACTGTCATAAAGCATGCGGGGGTTGGCAGAACACGAGAGAATTTTAGGAGAAGCATGACGCGTAGCCAATCCCCAAGTGCTTTATGACTGCACACAGCACAGCAAGCAAGTTTTTTATTTCTTTTATAAAATACAAATTACAATAATAGATAGGAATGACGCAACGGAAAATGCGCGCGCGTGCAATGTGCTCTCATAAAGCACGCTTTCCAAACCAATCAGAACGCGACATTCATAACAGTTATTTCATAATTATTATTAATCGCGCGCTCTGATTGGTCGAAATGCCACTTTTTAGTAAATAAGAGGACATACCAGGGCAGCACGCGTCATACGTCTTTCACCGTTGTGAGTGTGAGTCCAACGAGCCGGGTCGCTGGTTCGAGCCCTGCGGCCGCCACATGTGAATTGAGTTTGTTTGATGTGTTGTTCTCTCCTATGCTACAAGGGTTTTCTCCGGGTTCTCCAGTTTCCGCTCCGTAAAAATCAACATGTGAATTGAGCATTGTGCGCATAGAATATTGAATGTAGTGGGTAGTGTGTGTAAGTGAAAACTGTCCCCAATTAGCTATGTGCGACAGTGTTAAAACGACTAGACACTAAAATAACGTCAAGATGATTACAAATCGCTCTCTCACGGAGCCAGCGCGCTAGAAACCATGTGTTTTTCTTTTGCAGTAGTGAAAACAAATTTCCGATGGTTTTTTGTGGTATGTCATCTTTTTATATATTACGTATACCACGATATGAATTCAACAGTTGGTCAAAATTAGATATGTATACACTTGACTACGCCTCGTGAGTACATGACACTGATTTGAAGCAACTGTTGACGTAATATTGTGGTAAATAAGACGACGTACTATGCAAATGTTTCGAATATTTTGCCATGAGAATGGTCATTCAGTTCCGTAGGAAAAACTTGTTTATTAAGAAACACAGCGGTAATTTGGAAATCGAAAAGGGTCTATTAATTAACATAGCTTATTGTCCCTTATTAAAACCGTCTTAGAAAAAACTGAACATATTTAGAATAAAAAGCGACCTTACAGCAATTGATAAACTAATATTTGTTCACAGATCTCAAAGTTAATGAATAATATACACTACTTATATTGAGGCAATAGAAAACGCGCGAGCGTGCTGTGCAAACGCGGGATTTGGCCGAACATGAGAGAAGTCGGTTCAGGGAGAAAACCAACGCACTTCTTCATTCGTTTTTAAAATTTATTTCATAAAATAAATTATTCACACTGATTTTAAATATTTCATGACAACGCAAAAGGAAGGAAAAAAAGCTTTCCAAGTTGCTGGTAAACTAACATGAGTGGGTATATAGTTGATTGGATACTTGTCTGAGCCGACGATGATGACGGACGTACGGGTAGGCAGACATCTGGAAAAGTTGCTTTAAAAATAATTGAACTGTCTTGAAAATGCAATGACGCTGTTAATGAATGTAACACGTTTCATAATTGCTCAGAACTCTGTGCCGGATTTGCCGTGCATATCAGTCTGTATTTGTGCCCTCATCCAAGATATTATTACTATCTACTGATAGGTAATGGCATAATAAGTGAAAAAAAGGTATGTCTGTACAAGCTAGAGTTTTGTGGTTATTATAAAAGATGTACTCAGTCAATGAACTCCTACATATACCGATGAGAAAATTTGCTTCGCTAATTTCCTGTTAACTCCGAATATATATCTAAAAGACTAAAGAACCAAAGAACTAAACGTAAGACGCTCACATCATGCTTACAACATGCAAGACGCAGTTTATCTAGAGGCATAATACTGAATTATAAAGTACGATCAAAGAACAAGAGTTACTTTTGCTACTTTTCGTTTGGTAAGTTATTTTGATAAATAAAGTCAAAGTTCAATGTTTTGTGCTCGACACAAAGGACCAGTAGTACTACCATAGAATTGAAGATGTTTTATATAGACGCTACTATAGGTATATAAGTATCGAGTAAGCTTAGGAAATCTCTAGTAAAGCTAAAAGACATAATTGCATTTGTTCTCCTTGATTGGCTATACGTATGATACATGATCAAATGTACCTAATTAGTATATGCTAGGAAAAGATATAACTAGCTAAAAACTAGTGTGAGCTGCGTCGGTGTTTCTAATGAAACAGTAATGATGAAAAGGTAAATTATACACCGTGAAAAGATGAAAAAACTTACTGACGTTTCGGACGCTAGTCCTTCGTCGGAGTAAAAGAGGAATATATGAGGAATATATGCTAGTGTAAGGTACCTTTTTTATTATACGTTCTTAATCATTTTAAACCATATTTAACTCCTGTGTAGCTAGTTTTCTACATGATCGAAATCTAAAATTAAGACTAAGATACCATAAAAAGAAACAACATCACTTTTGGGGTGAACGTGACCGCATAAACCTTTGAGCAACCTTAATAGCTTTTCCATTTGTTTATTCACTTGTCGGACTTATATCGTCAACCGCTAATTGTCTATCACGGCAAGAAAATACTATTTTGAGCTATTGGGGAGATCCAGTTTCGTGTCTTTTTTGCTGTGTCTTAGTAAAATGATCGTATAGAGTTTATTCGTGTTCACTTATGGAAATGGAAAAGAAATGAAATGTGGAAGCTGGATAAATTATGAATCACTTAATAAAACATAAATTGTAGTGTGTCATGCCACCCGACATGCATCATGAGGTCAATTTTGAGTTTAGCTCAGTGATTGTTTTCAACCGAAAGCGAATGTTGCATCACCCTGTTAGTGATGCTTTCTCTGAAAGAAAGTAAAGTAAAATAAAAAGGAAATGAAGAGGGGATGAAAGGCAATCCCTGAAACCGAAAGCGAATGTTGCATCACCCTGTTAGTGATGCTTTCTCTGAAAGAAAGTAAAGTAAAATAAAAAGGAAATGAAGAGGGGATGAAAGGCAATCCCTGAAACGTCTCGGTTGCGGATCACAGAATTTTCTTTCTTTAACATGTGGTGCATCTTCGTCGTATATACTAATGTTACAGGAATAGTATGCTATAGATATTAATCAAATTCATTAATTAGAAATGTCGACCCTGTTTTTCTTAGAAACAACTTACTAGTCAGCCGACCTCAAAGGCACCAGTCGGTAACCCTAGCTCAGTTTATGTGTCAGTCCATAGTTAATAGAGGGGAATGGTTAGGAAACCCGGCAAACTTCAAAGGACCGACCTATTCTTTCGCATTTGATGTTGAACAGTACCATCACGTGACACTGACCGTGCACACAATCAAAACAAATATGGTGGATGACACTGAAGCATTCGTATTTGGAGACGATTTGGAAGCAATACTTGATATCGTAGAAGCTAATGCGGACTGCGAACGGAAATTTTTAGAAGCTGTTGATAAGTGAAGTGTAAAACATTGGATTGACTAGTTATTTTTTCAGAAACCGCCGCTAAATTCCTTGCTCAAGTTCTACATTAGTGTCACCGCGAGTATGGTCGATAAAGTTTGAAATTAAACTTGACATTTCACCGGTAGTCTCTATGCTACAAAAATATATAATTCTCTGACTCTATTAACTATGGTCAGTCGCATTTTTCTTGGTATTGCACACTTGTCAGTCCCACGCATTACACGCAATTGTTTTTCTTGTTATACAAAAAGTGAGAATGAAAACGTAAAGAATTTATTAAGTATTAATTTATTTAAGGAGTCCATATAACCCGAGGAGGTCAGCTTCGATGCAGCCCTGTAAATGAGCAGTCTCAGTGTCGAGAAAAACAATGCGTACATTCATCCAACCATCGTTGGCATCCAAGTACTGATCCATTCGTTTACGCGGCATTCCCAGCCACACATTTAAAAAATTTTCTGCTTTTGTTTACTCATATTTTTACAGGACACTATCTCTAAGGACTAAATATGAATGGAACGATTGACTTAAGCAGTTCTAATCAAGACCTTTCAAGTACTGCTTCGGGTGATCAACTACAATATGTAGAAGACGATAATAGCTGGAGTGAAACCTCGGACAGCTGTAGCTGTTCTTCCTGTGGTACTTGTTCTATGTGTGACATTTGTAACGTTGAGGATTTTCGTTTAAACGTAGGAAATAAGAAATCTTATGCTGAAAGAGAAAGCGCTTTTCAAGAAAGCAATAGACTTCCGTTGTCGTCTTTGCAAGAGGATCAACCTAGCTTACTTTCAATCAAAAACCAAAACCATTATGAAACAAGTAAGGGTCTTTCATACACTTCACGATGTTCAAGTAAGAATAAGAAGCATGCAAATAGTGATAGGAACTGCACAATTACATCTAACTTACAAGATCCTATAAAAATCGTAGAATCGAATTATGTCCTGTACAGCTCCGGTTCAGATAAAGAAAGAAACAGTTCCTTTTCGAGTTCTGTCAATTCAGGCATTATAAACACCGCAGACTCCAGCTCTGAAAACAGTAGCACTGAATTTTTTACTGGCCTGCCCTTGAACACCGAGGAAAGACCGAAGCACGAGAAAAAGGTTACCTTCTCAGAGACTTTTAACAGAGATACGCCAAGTGTATGGCCTTGTGAGAGAAATTTATCAAACGAAATGCAAAACCCAGTTAAGGTACCAGGACAAAGCTATGGTTCTTTAAGTGCCGGTAGTTCGAAAAAACCCATTGAACGTTTAGACCCGAAAACTGAACTAATTTCTGAATGCATAAGACTGCAGAGTGTCCTTAAGAACATAGATCCCTTCCTCTTACGTTCTTTACTGCTGCATCAGCTGGAAAAGAAAGATGCTCGAACGATTCTAACTTTAGGAAAATTATTTCCTACAAAAATATACCCTCTTGACACAATACACTGTGTTCGCTGCCACAATGAGTATAACCCATTCACTGGAAGGATGGGCTGCAAAGTTACACATCCTATCAATGCTATAGCAAGATTATGTCAAAATGATCAATTAGCGTGTTACAGTTGCGCTGTCTGTAAAAAGGAGTATTGGGTGAACATACTGGAAGATGACGTATCAAAAGTAATAAATCACCTTGGGTATTGTTTTGTTGGCACTCATTCACCAACTGTAGATGAGGTAAGCTATTTCCCACAAGGAGCAGCAAAAAGCTGTGAAGATATGGGATGTATTGAGTTTTACGTCTGATTTTACCTGCCTCATGTAAAATATATATATATAACCTCCACAGACCGAAGGAGCAACTAAAACTATATATCCCAGCCAAAATTGTAGCTAAGAGAATATTTAGAAACGGAGATACGAGCGAATGACTATACTCATAATTTAGTGTACAGGGTCCGCCATCTTTGTGTCCCATTGAGGGGCACGAAAGATGCGGCCAAATCAAGAAAGTTAAAAATCATGTTTCTATTGCACCCACTTCAAAATGTTAATGTTAATAATCAATAATCGAAATAAAGTTAACAATCATCTACTAAAATAAAAACGCATTATTTCAATCGAATTTCCCTATTTCTAATGCTTTGAAAATGCGTGACAACGATTGCGTTACAGAATTTGACTCGTGACAAATCTAAAACCAAACATCGATAATACAAAATTATTTTGGTACAGCTCTTCTTTTTTAGTGTGAACAAAATATTCGCAAACAGTTTCTTGGAGTGAATACTTTGGATTTTACTTTTTTCATTTCATCACGTGAAAGCCAAGAATACCGGCAAAGGCAGACCATAAGGGAATGCAAAGTTACGATAAAAGTAAAAATAAAAGAAAGAAAACGCCCTAGGAAGAACAACTAAGTGAAAAGTTTTGCGCGATCGCGCGATTGGAGTCATTCTGACGCAGGGCGCTAATTAGGTAGGCGGTGAAACGTGTGATGTGGTGGGATACTAGAAACTAGTAGTGGGTTTTTTAACGCTCCGCTTATCCTTACACTACATGGGTATATAAACAGTGAAATATACAACGTTCGGGGCCATTTTGCAAAAGCAGTTCGCATCGGTGCTAGATATGCGCAGAACAAGCCGAGCAAGTTCCTCAACCTCCAGCCGTACCAGTGAAGGATATTGTGAACTCAGCAGGCCGACAAGAGCTACCAGCCCCGAATTTGTTCGTCTACGTGCCAAGTTCTGTTCGTGTGCGCGTTTAACTATTTGGTCTGTTGGACAGTTTCAGATTTCCCTGTACTTTCCTATTCTTATGTGTACTTTATTATGCTGGCTTCGTTGAAAATCTTTTCACGGCAAGTTGTTGTTTGCCATGATATGTTTGGTTTACGTATAAGTAGCGACTTACTACTTACTAGTTCGTATCTTCTCATTTTTATTTGACTTGATAATGACGTTACGTGAACGTCGTCTTTTATTAAAATGTTTTTGAAATATAGTTTTTTATCGTTGAATTTCTTAGTTGAATGTTTGGTTTAATTGCATTATTCATGACTTTTGTGTTTTACGTCTGCAGTTTTGCTATGCGTTTGTTGTTATTACACGTACACGTTTTTATGATGGCTTCCTTAAAATCTTTACAGTGTTAGTTTTTGTTTTTTTTCACCCTTTATTTATTAATAATATAAGAACGACGTTTCGAGGTCATGCTGACCTCATTATTAAATGTGTTTAATGCATAGGGGAATATATAGGAAAACAAAGGCGCACGCAAAAAAAAAAAAAATGTTTTTACTCTTTCGCATTACGGAGGACAATATCTTGAACTCCAATTTAAAAAAAAAATTAATTGTTTAATTTTTCCGATTTTATTTTCACCATTCACTTCAATCTAAATTGGGCTCCCTGTGGTAAATCCACTCGCACCAAAACTTGAATGCATGATTAACGATATCAAAAACCGCAGAGACCTCCAGCAATTGATGGGTTGCAAGCATTCCCAAGAGAGTTAAAAGACAAAAACATGGCGGCCATTGTGGTGCCGTTAACAATAGATACTAATGAGAAATCTTTTGTTAAATGGTACCAACATGGCCGCGATGACGTAACGTGAAACGAAGAATACTTATATAAAAAAGCGCTGCTCATCAATCGCTTTTTATATATCATTATCCACCCTTAACAAAGCAGTCTTGATCAACACTATGGTGTTTTTTGTATGCAGATTGGAAAAGTCATTAAGTCATTATTTTCAAGATGCTCTATCAACTGAGCAGCAACAGCTTTCTCGATAACTTTTGAGATAAATCGAAAAATTTGAAACAGGCCCGAGTGAAACTGGAGAACTCCTCTGGTGACATATTTTGCTTCTTAAGAGTTGGTCTTATTAAGTTCGATGGCATAATTGACGTATATATTGAAAAATTTATTACAATCATCGTAATAACCGGAGGGAGTTACCTCAAAACAGTTTTTCATCAGTTTGTCGGTATTGGATCTCCTGATGAAACACTCGCACTCGTATTTGATAATCACATACGATTTTTCCAACAGCTTGTAGGCAACTACACTATCACACTACGGTCTTGCGAAAGGAGCCTTTGGTCTTGCGGTTTTCATTTTAAAAACCTTGTGAGTTTAACCTGTTTCAGATATCTAAATAGATCAATAAATTAATTGTACTAAAGGGTATTAATTCTGTCGATCATTCCTGTACGATTCACACGTGTGCAAAATTTTCTGATGGAAAAGACAGGCCGTGAAGTCGTTTATTACTACGTGGGTGCCCTGTGTGTACTAAATGGTAATACCGCTGGGTTGGGGTATCGTTTTTCACCCGGGGGGAGCCCGAGGTATAATACTACAGTAGCATCACCACTTTTATACTGAAGAAGCTAGTATATTTAGGAAAACGCGCTAGAATTTTTTGCAAATTTGTTGCGGAAAGGCCCTTTAAATGTTTAAGCATCTCAGCTCTCAACGTTAAAATGCAAATGAATATCAGTGATCACGAGAAAGGAGGAAAAGTATTTCAGCATGATAAGCTGTAACGAATGCATTCAAGCCGCCAAACACCACAACGACGTACAATCTTTCCTTTTTAAACGATAAACACGGGACAATGGCTGGCCGTGATTCTTTCAGAACTACACATGAATTAGCAGATGAGCGTTATGCGTGTGCAAATTCTTCATTGCAACCGGTCGCCAAACAACAGTTCAAGATAAAGAGAAAGTCAGACACTACATATAAACGAAAAAAGAGAAAGTGCTCTTATTCTTCCAACCAGTGCAGTGACACGAACTCGGAAAATGCAGGGCCGTGTATTGAATCACTTGGCATAATGCAAAGTTCAACACCGAAAGGAAAGTCAAGTCATAAGTTCAATGATTCTATGCAAAGTAATTCTTATGGTGGTATACCTCCAGAAGAAAAAAGACAGTGTCAAGTAAGCTTGATGTGTCATGACAAAAATGACAGCATGTCAGATTTTTGGAATGATGACAAATTGTTTGCAGATTTAAGTTTAAACCAAGGTGATGCAACAGAAAATAAGATTGAATGTACAAATAATCATAATAATTTGATTCCAATGGGACCTAATAAACTTTTGGACAAAACAGATTCCTCTTTGAAAGCAAAATGCATGACTATGACAGAAGAAACATTTTATGGGATGCCACTCCAGTTGAAGCAGATGTTACTACAAAGTCGTGGTATTAATGAGCTGTATGGTGAGTGGAAATATGAAAATAGTCATTAACCTTTCATCCAGTCATTCTGTTAGAAATCTGAGTTAAAAAAAAAAAAAAAAAAAAAAAAAAAAA